TTAGATGCGGCCTGTGTTTCGCATGTTCTTGGGTTCTCCAAATTACTCTGCGTATGCGTATGTTCTATAAGGCAATCGCCTACCATCATGTTCCATTGGCGAGGCTTATAAAATATCTAATTGTGCCTGGAACGAACGACGCGCTCAGTGAACAAACTGTAGGAAGTTGCATGCATGTTCGAGTGAGCGTCATAAGCAGTCGGGAAGCCGAGTCTTTAGACGAGAATGTCCCTTGCCATTATGTCATCACTTCCCACCAGATTGTTCTGGAGGGATCGACTATTTTATATTTCGAAGAACCGAAAGCCAGCTTCTAAGCACGAAAATACGCCTTTAGATCCGTACTACAGTCGTGATTCCGATCTTTGGTCCTTGAGTGTGTCATTCGAAGGCCGATATGCCGCCACTATGAACCTGATTCACAGATTATCAACTGCAATTCCATTTTACCAGTCGAAAGTTGTTGAAGTCCGCGGGTTTCGGTGAATTTTTCGATTTCTATTCATCACAGTAAGTCCTAGTCCCTATTGCGTTGCTAGGCCGCTAGTATTCAGCGTCCAGGACCTCATTGTGGCTCGCCTGACAATGCCGCCCTGTATGCAGTAATCGAGATTATGCCAGACACTATTCTGTGAAAATTGATCAGTTTTTTTAGCAACCCATCCCTGAACCAGGCTTTTTCATCCGGGAGACCTGCCCAGCCTCCCGTAATTCCGTGTTGATCAGTATGGTGGTGTACCTTAACCGCCCCATCCAAGTCAAGTTGTTCTGACCCGAAAGGAAGGTGGAACAGAAAGAGAGCCGGTTCGGGGATAGAGCACTTTATTGCCAGCCTGCGAGCATGAGGGGTTCCAACTCGTCAGCAAGACGCCTTATTGATGTTGGCCCCTGTGCGTTCTGGAACATTCCGGTCAATGGCGTGCCAGCCGTGAAGAGCGTTCTAGAATGTTCCTGCCCATGGCGTGCCGGTCGCGGATTGGCCACCACGTGCGCGCGAGTCCCCCCGCGCAAAAGTCTCGAGTGTTCAACCACGCGTGATCAAAGCCACCGCACCTGCTCAGCGCTGAAGTGCACGCTGGCCGGCCGCCTAATCCTGGCGTGTATCACGCCGCTTCCCTGTCCCCCAAACGGGCCAGATGTTAGATGCGCTGAACCAAACACGGGGGCCATATTTGATTCTGGCAGGCGTCATCGGATTGCGCACCATAACAAACATCAACATTTCGGGGTGCGGTGGCAGACCCGGTTGCCGGTAGACGTCGCGCACACTGAAACCCCTGTCAAACCCAATTGTTGTTGATTGGTCACAAACCTGTTTATTTGCTGTGTGAACCTGGGGGTGTGAAGTGGAGCGCTAAGCTGTGGGTTCGAACGTGCCATCCACCTGCGCCCCCTCCGCCTCCGGTCTTCTTGACTCTGTCTGGACACCGGGCCCAAGTGGGGGAGGAGGAGAGAGTGGGATGGACGCTGTGCATGTCTACGTTCATTATAAAATAAATTAAGCACAAGTCACCGTCCCTGCTGCACCTTGCTGTGGGACTCATGGTGGATATCGTCTAAATCGACGGTCGAAATATCACGCCGCATCCCTCAGGATTTCAGGGACGCCACAATCGTCCACCTCTTCAAGCAGAAAGGGGCCGCCAAATCTGCGACAACCACCAATGCATTTCCTTGCTGAACATCTCCGAGAAGATCTTCGCTCGCATCCTCCTCAACCGCCTGAACAACCATCTGGAATAGGGTCTCCTGCCGGGAAGCCAGTGTGGCTTCCGCCGTCATCGTGGAACCTCGGGCAGGATCTCTGCCGCCCGCCAACTGCAGGAGAAGTGCCAAGAGATGCGGACCCAACTGCACTCTACCTTCGTTGATCTGAAAAAGACTTCGATACGATGAACCGTGAAGGAATGTGGAAAATCATGCAGAAATTCGGCTGTCTCGAATGATTCATTCAGATGGTGCGTCAGCTCCACGATGGCGTGATGGCGCAATTCACGGACAATGATGCTGCCTCAGAAGAATTCGCAGTGATCAACGGAGTGAAGCATGGCTGCACCCTCGCGCCTACTCTCTTTAGTCTCATTTTCACTGCCATGCTGATAGACGCCTACCATGACGAAAGCCCTGGGATTTGCTTCGCCTATAGGACAGACGGCCACCTCCTCAACCACCGGAAGATTCACTTCCAGTCGCATGTATCCACAACCACCGTCCACGAACTTCTGTTCTCCAATGATTGCGCCCTCAATGCATCTACTGAAGGGGACATGCAAAGAAGCATGGATCTCTTCTTCTCTGCCTGCGAGAACTTTGGCCTGGTCATCAAAACGGAGAAGACGGTGATTATGCACCAACCACCTCCAGACTCTGCCTACGTCGCACCCTAAGTCAGCGTGAAGCGTGCCCGACTGCAAGTCGTGGACAACTCCACTTATCTGGGCAGTACCCTCTCCCACAGCGCCCAAATCTACGAAGAAGTGGACGCCGGATTTCCAAGGCAAGTTAAGCCTTCGGTCGTCTTCAAAACGCAGTTTTGAATCGTCATGATCTTCAACTCAGCAAGAAACTGAAGACGTACAAGGCCATCATCTTACTGACGTTGCTGTATGGAGCGGAGACTTGGACGGCATGCATGAATTAGGCGCGCAGACTCAACCACTTCCACCTCAGTTGTCTTCGTCGAATACTGAAGCTGAGATGACAGGACTGGATCCCAGACACGGACATACTGGAGCGGACGGGAATCCTCAGCATCTACGCTACGCTGATGCCCAGGCCACTTAATCAAGCAAAGCAAACGCCGAGTGAACAGACGACGGCCAGAAAAAGAACAAGCCGAAGTCTGGAGGGCTATTCCTTACATCAAAGGAGTCTCCGAGGCGGTTTCATGACTGTTACAACCCGCCAGGGTAGGTATTGCCCATCGACCCCAGGCAACAATTCGTCGCCGTTTGATGCAACCCAGAGACATACTGACACCCACTGAAACCTTAGCAGTTGTCTATCAAATACGTTGTAAGGATGGAGACTGCAACTACGTTGGGGAAACCGGACGGAAATTGCAGACCCGCCTACATGAGCACAAACTGGCAACTCGGAGACTAGACCCAAACTCGCAGCTTGCGGCTCACATCGGGGAAACTGGTCACAGTTTTGATTTTGAAGGAGCCGCCGTCTTAAGCAGGGGCACCTCAAAGACTGTGCCTCTCACACTTGAGGCTTGGTACTCAGATGCCAACTCCATCAACAGGCATCTAGACTTTCCTTCGGCCTATAAAGTCCTACGTCACTACATGCGACGTGACGACGACAAGACAATCATAAGGAGCCTAGGAATACCGAGAAAACACGGCCTGCCGACCACTTCACCCAAAATGGGAACGCAAACGCAACTAACCCCAATTGAGGTGACGACACGTGATACAGGAGGCCACCAACACTCACAGGCGACGGCCAGTAGGCCAAGGCAGCGAAAGAATAAAAGAATCGATCAGCCCAAGGCCACCTAATCCGACAGTCTATTCAAAAATTCTGATCGATTTTTTCACTTGACGCTTTGACAATGGAGAACAGCCCCAGCGCTTCGAAGCGTCAGCCAGAAAAGTCCCCCGATCCGGTGAGCAATTCATTTTCCTCAGACAACTACAACCACGCTGGAGCGACCACCTCGCCCGCATGGGCGAGCGGACCCAGATGACTCTTCTATGGAGGTTTCGTGACGAGTTAACGCCGACAAGGAAGTCAAATCCGGCGCCGCAAGGATACTCTGAAAACCTCCCTGAAGTGCCCGCAGATCAACCCGGCAAACTGGAAAGACCTCGCCCGGCACCGACCTACGTGGAGGAGAACAGTGAAGACCAACGCAGTAATCTTCGAACCCAACCACATCACCGCCATCAAGGCCAAACGCGAGACAAGCAAATTTCAACTGCCGCCGACGCCTCACAGCGCCAACGCCCAACCGCCTTCAACGTGTCCACGGTTTCAACGGACATTCCGGGTGCCAAATGGACTTGTTGGACACCTCCGGACCAACTACAGCATCCGGACTGCGCCAACCGTCGTCTCTCCGTTCACCTCTCCCTCGCCTCCCACGCTGTCAGCCAACATTTGCCGCCCTCCCGAACCACCACTACCATCCTCCTCCACCTCTTCCACCACCACCGCCCCAATGTCTGCCGCTGTATCGTCTGCCATGCCCATCAACACTACACACAATCCTGACACACCAACAAACACCAACACTGCCACCGCCGTCAACACCAGTGACGAGGACCGGGTCTATACCTGTCCTCATTGTGATCACACCTTCACCTCACACATCGGCCTGGTCGGTCACTTGCGTATCCATCGCGCAGAGACTGGCGAACCAGTGCCTGGAGCACCAACCTACACCCGCCTCCACTGTCCACACTGCCCTCGCACATTCATGCACCACGTGGGCCTATTCGGCCACATGCATATCCACAACAGCGGAACTGATCGCAGTCCCGACACACCTGTCACATCAGCACACCCTCCATGCCTAGCCCCTCCCACACCCCGCCGCCCAACGCGCTCATCACCACCATCTCCATCACCGAAGTTCATACTGACGCCGCCGACTTCTCATGTCCACACTGTCCCCGTACGCTTCGGCCTGGTCGGTCACATGCGAATCCATTGCACAGAGACTGGCGAACCAGTGCCTGAAGTATCAACCTGCACTCGCCGCATCCGTCTCCACTGTCCACATTGCACTCGCACATTTATTCACCTCATGGGTCAAGTAGGCCACATGCGCGTCCACAAAACCTGCGGTAGACAACCGCCGACTGAACCACACCATCACATCCTCCATTACCAGCATCTCACTGCACATCAACATCACCCACCGGAAGCATGCGGCTCCCCTGCTGCATGTGTGATCGGAGTCTGAGACGAAGACGGTGCGTCAAGCGCCGTGGCTCGGAAGACAGCCGACTGACGCCCCAACTCAGTCCACGCAATCTGCCCAATTGTGCGTGTATGTGTGGAGTGGCAGACTGATGGGCGAAGAGCCAAGCTGCCACGGCTTCTTCTCAAGCGATCTGTGACACTGCCATGTATGTGAGGAGAGTGGTTGTGTTCGTTTATGTGCGTTATGGCTAGTGCCTCACAGTCGACGACTGTTTGGTTACCTAATCGTGAAGGGTGATGGCCCAGGCTAAATGGAGGACCACGTGTCACCCTTCTAGGCCAAAGGGTCTGGAAGCGCGTGCTATGCCAATATCAGCAAACCATGGCCTTCGCAGCCTGGTATGCGCTGGCAGTTCCCTGACACCTGGTTCCCTGTCGGTAGATGCGCTTACGATCCCGCTGGGTATACGGGTGGTGGGCATGACTGCCCAGTCATCCCCCTCGTCCTTCTGACCCCATGTTGGTGTGTTGTTGTTGTGGTTAGTTAAAAAAACTGGTCATTTGTTGTCTGGACCAGGCGGTATGGAGTGGAACGCCAAGGTGCCGGCTCGACCGTACCATCCACCTGCGTCCTCTCTCGCCTGTGGTCTCCTTGATTCTGTCTTGACACGGGGTCCAGGTGGAGAGTGGGGAGGTGAGAGTGTGGTAGATGCTGCGCAAGTCTACATTCACTATAAACTAATTCATGCGCACGTCACCGTCCCTGCCTCACCTTGGCGTGGAGCACACAGTGGACATCGTTGGAATCCACGGTCGGACTGTCATCACGCCGCTGGTTTGGTCCTCTGTTCAGCGCGTGGTCGAGTCTTCCTTTCACCTCAGGTCGTGACTCCACGCCGCTTGCGCTCTCCATAATAAGTTCTATTTAGGAGAAGAGTAGGGGGAAGGGCGCCAGTGTGAGGGGCCGGTCCAGCACAGTGCTCTTCAAGCTAATGGGTCTAAGCACATAAGTTAAAAATCATGGCCTCCATGAGTAAGGAAACCTGTTATTGATTATATGCAGGTATCTGCCCTTGGTCTGCTATGCCGCATTAGCCTGAGGCGGTGGCCAGGGAGGTCGTAATTGTCCAACGTGACAGAGACTGACATGCAAGTCATAGCCCACAACTTCTGTTCTGAATATTTTTCTGGTCACGGAATGCTTCTGGTGGACAACGATAGCAAATGAGCTCTGGATTCCTCAAAAGGCCAACCTGACGCCAACTGTTAAGCACAACAACAGATTACGGCTACGAGCCCGCCTTCAGAGTAGTCTCCTGCCATAGGAACACTACGTGAAATGACAAGGTGTCTCTTCAATACTACCTGAAAACGTAAGGCGAAGCCCCGAATGGGTGAAGAAATTGAAAGAGAATTCTTTTGAAGTACCTCTTATAATTAAGTGTGCAAACCACCTATGCAGGCTTTAAGCCGAAGTTTAAAGTGTGTGACTTTTAATGAAGCCTTTAAGAACATTGGAGAAATTGGAATATTGGACGGTTTCGCCATGTCGATACAAGGCTTCTTTCTAAGCCCGGCCACAGACTTGCTTGTCGGCCGTTGATTCGACTCGAGTAGTTCTTGTTACCCGTTTTTTCCATATCTAACTCGCTACCTCCATACTGTCCACGGCATCTGCGCAGACAGGTTAGAGCCTGGGGGATTATGCCTCGAAAAGTCTCTCCATTCGTGTTCGAAAACGTCTGGTCAAACTAAAAAACGGCTGAAACGTAACTTGTATGTGCGCTAACGTTAGTCGTGCCTTTTGGGGATAGTTTTGAGAGCGAGTAGACTGCGCTAGACCTAACATGAATAATTCACGCTCGACACACTCGGCTTATCCTTTCCTATAACCAGAAATCCTTATTGGCAAAGACAAGGACGCACCCGGTGGCTATTTCTTGTTTTTGATTCATCGCCAGTAAACCGTGTCGCAGTCCTAGGCCTTGAATTTCTGAAATCTGAACCAGTGTCCAAATGATCGCTGAACCAGGAGCTTAAACATTTGAGCGGCAGAGCTCGGATGGTTGAGCGTCTGCTGAACTATCAAGTGAACCTGGGTTAAATCCAAGCTTTTCATGAGGTTGGTGAATGGTTGACTTCCAAAAACAAATAAGCAAAGAGTGGTTCGTTTTGTATCCCTTTCCTCTGTCGACAAAATTTCTCAATTAAGGACGGATGACCCGTATGCGACAGTTATATACCGGATCTCTGATGCAAAGTGAACGCACTTATTCCGTAACTGTCCTTTTTATTCCCAGTCTCTGATTGTCGTTTGAGGCGTTACTGCCGAACTGTCTATAGACGTCGTGGATGTAAAACTGGTCATATCCATAGCCGCTTATAACGTCCACTACGAGTTAACAATGTCAGCGAACGCTACTGCAGCGTTGACAACAAATGACTTCTTGTCCGCCTTCTGTGCGTTCCGGGAGCTGATTGGCTGCCATACGCGCGTACGGACAGAAGCAACAGCCTGTACGCGCGTTATGCGCCACCCGAGTTTTCCCGCGGTTATGGGGGTCTCACTTGCACGCACTCGCGAGCACAGGGACGTTAGAGTGGTCGCTAGGTAGCGCCACATCATTCCCGTTAAACCTAGCCATGATGAAGGGTCCAGTCCAGCGATCGGGCTTCTTCATCGCGGACATCCTCCAGAACGAGAGCGGGAAGCCAGCTGGGATCTGGTGTGAGTGTAACGTCCCGGGTGGGACTGGAAGCACTTTAACTCGAGCCAACACTGAGGGCGCACTGAAGTTCTCCTGCCAGGTGCTGGATACTCAGCTTTCCAGTGAGACTTTATGTGAGAGGCCAAAGTTTAACTCTTCAAGTCAGCGTGATACCACTCCTTCAAGTTGCACTGGAAGACCGGGGTCCCTGAAACTCCCAGACTCATCATTGCCTGCCTGGATTTTTTGCACGCGATACTCCGACAGACCCTCATCTGGTGAGTCCGGAAATCCAAGCTTATTTACGCTCTCTTGTTTTCCGTGAATCATCAACCTGCAGGTTATGAAGTTTACGCTTTACAAAGGACGAGACTCCACACGTGGGTTCTCGATGCGCCCCTTTTGTGCCTGATTTATCTTATGGCCATAGAAAAGACATTCGTTGAAGGATTTTTTTTAAATCTCCCTTAGAAGAGTCCTGTCTTCTTCACGCATGTGTGAAGCTGAGCAGGGGTGGGAATTGTCTAACCAGGAAGGGGGTGAGGAGGTGAAAAAGAAGGGGAAAGCGAATTAGCGTGGTAAGGAAAACAACTTGGACAACGAAGGCATGGTGTGGGAGACCGTATGGTGAGGACAGAGTGCACTGATAATGCAAAGTAAGAGCTGTAGGTAGATAGATGCGCGCTCAGCTCCAATGGTGATATGCCCCGAAACGTGCTATGGCGCCTTTGGGCCAGACCAAAAAAGAGACCGTACTGACTCACGGACCATATTAGTCTGCATGTGCTGAGTCTGTATGTGCCCTTCTTCATTGCCGTACGTGCTTGTTCCACGCCTTAATTGAACGGCTCATGTCCCGTTAGCCCTCTGCGCCCAATCTCATCACGGTTTGCTCGACCGGCTGAGTCAGATCCCTGAAGAATGGGAAAGGGGGGTGGGTGGGTGAAACCGTTACTAGGGTAATTCTGCTTGTGACAATTTAGTGCGTCCTCACTATACAGAACCTAACGCGTTTGCAGCTCCCACGATTCGTTAACTGTCGTGGTTTAGATGCCTGTCAAATGAGTAAATAGCTCTGCGTCCGGTGATACAAGGGCCAACCTTCATGGCACCCTCTCCTACATGAGATTCGATGCCCCCTTTCCCTTTGGAGCCGTGTCGTCTGTGATTAGGGGAGGTTCGTCCGTAGTACGCGTAAACGGGCCATTTCGCCTTGTCTGCCACTGAATCCACACTCACCTTCATTCATTCTGGCTTTCTTTCCGATATTTTGAGGACGGTCGATGTGGAAGGGGAGAGTGGGGTAGATGCAGCCCACGTCTGCCCGCTTCAAGAAGCCCTTAAGTAATAAAAAGACTATGCTCAGGGGCGCACTGCCACAAATACGTACCGGCAAGCGCCTGAGGGAGGGGATAATTAAAGCCTATTCACCCTAGCAGGTAACTCGGGGAAACTTGACTGAAATTGGCAACTAAACAGACAGTTAGCCGTGTGAACAGAGTAAAGGTAAGATGACGGTCAAAAGGGAAATAAAAAACATTCATTAATGACTGTGAAGACACGATTAACCTGTCCAGTTTACCCTTAATCCAATACAGCCAGTCGGTTTTGTAGTCCGATGCAAAAAGAGGGATTGTTTGTATCGAGTGGCTGGTGGCACATCCTTTGATTAGACTAACTGTATATGATCTGTTGCCCAGCCACGTTCACTTTCCGCGCTCAACAAAGACCGATTTCTTAGACACCAGAAAGTAGCAGCATGCTAGGAAAGGATGATCATAAATTAGTCACTCCCTAGGACCACACCGTATATCTGTGAACGATTATTTTGGTCTATAAGGTAAATTAGTACTTTGCGGTGAAGTGTGCTTCTGTTTTTGCCCACCCTAGACGTGACACAAGGGGTTCGGCGTATATGCTGTGATTTACCTCCTTACCACTGGTTATATTAGGTGCGCAGACGCTACCTGTTTTGACAGGTTTCCTCCTGGTTTGTAGCAGTCTCAGTCTAACATGCCGCTCAGTGCCAACTTTCGTGAGGTCAGTTAATTACCGAGCAGCTGTGGAGTGCCAACTTTCACACAGCATTTGTTCTATTTCCAATGGTCGCTCCAGAAAAGCGTTCATTCTTCTCCAATTTTGTGCAGACTCCCTTCCTCTGATAAGCTGATTTTACCAAAAACGGCTATGTCCATGCTGTACCTGGTAGTCTCCTGAGAAAGTTAGCGGACATTGTTGTGGTCCTTTTTACAGGCTAGGAAGTCAGAAGTGCATCATCGAATAGAGCTGCCTGAAAATCTAGGCGGTCGCTGTGTTCCACTGTTTCATGACA